GGTGGCCTCTCCCGCTGCGGAGCACAGGCTCTAGGCATGCGGGCTTCAGTAGTTGTGGCTCAGAGGCTCAAGAGCGCAGGCTCAGTAGTTGTGGCGCACGGGCTTAGTTGCTCCGCAGCATGTGGGATCCTCCCGGACCAGGGCTCAAACCCGCGTCCCCTGCACTGGCAGGCGGATTCTCAACCACTGTGCCACCAGGGAAGCCCCCAGGCTGCACACTTATGCTCACTGAGGGCATCTTCCAGAGCCCCTGTGGTCCAACCACCAACCCATGGCCCCCAGCCTGGCGTCCTGGCTCTCCCCAGCCACCCAGAGCAGACCCTGGCCCACCACACTCCCGCCTTGGCCAGCACGCGGAGGGTGGGGCTGGGGGATGAGAGCACTGTCTCTAGCCTGGCCCGCGCACATCTGCTATCCTTTGGGGACCTTATAAAACTGCCCAAACCCCACAAGGGGTGGGACTGGGAACACAGAAGCCCTCACCTTCCCCAGTTTGGGCTCCTTGCCTTTGGTGGTATGACCCGGCATTGCTGGCACCTCTGGGTCCAGCATCACCGCTGACAGGGCCCTGGCACCGGCCACTTCCAGTGTGCATAAGGAGCTGCCAAGGGGTCTGGTCACTCACTCACTCGTTTATTTGTTTAGCAGACACTGGTGAGTGTTGTGCTGGGTGCTGGGGCTCCAGGGGTGCACAGGCATGGGTGGCACTCACTGCAGGCGGCTGACACAAGTGCCCAGTAGGGGCCCCCGGGGGGCACCGGGGAGGAGAGAAGGGGGGGCAGTGGTGGTGCTGGGAGCGGGAGGGGCGGGGGGGGGTGCTGGGGCTCCAGGGGTGCACAGGCATGGGTGGCACTCACTGCAGGCGGCTGACACAAGTGCCCAGTAGGGGCCCCCGGGGGGCACCGGGGAGGAGAGAAGTGGGGGCAGTGGGGGTGCTGGGAGCGGGAGGGGCGGGTGGGGGAGGAGGGTCCTGACCTCGGCCCAAGCCGAGCAGCCACTCAGCTGTGTCCGGGGGTCTGTGAGGGGCTGGCGACCACAGCAGGGCCACCTGTGGCTGGCCTAGGGCCAGCACTGACTGCCCGTCCCACCCCCCAGAGCATCCCCCGGGCCCCATCCTCCGACGAGGAGTGCTTCTTTGACCTGCTGAGCAAGTTCCAGAGCAGCCGCATGGACGACCAGCGCTGTCCTCTGGAGGAGGGTCAGCCCGCGGCCGCTGAAGCCACGGCCGCCCCCACCCTGGGGGACAGGATTGGTGAGCCCGCGGGGGCCGGGGCGGGTCCCCTCCCGCCGCTGCAGTGTTCCGAGGGCGGGGTGGACCAGCTGCGAAGTGCCCTCTGTCACCGTGAGCCCCATGTCCCCACCTTGCCCAAAGCTGCATCCCGGAAGACGTGTAATCATCCCACCCTCCGGAACACACCGTGTCGGGGCGCAGCGGTCTCGGAGCGGGTGTGGGAAGCCAGGCTCTCTCCTCTGTCACCCCCTGGAGGCCCTCAAGGCGGGCGTCGGGCCCACGGCAGGAGCGGCTGAGAGCAGCTGGGGCCTGGGGTGGGCAGAGAGGCTGCTGGGGGCTCCGGGGGCACAGTGGGCTGTGTCCCTGCCTCCCCGGGCCTGACCCCCTGCGCCCTGCAGGCCAGCCCTCGCTGACGGCCTCCCCCCAGACCGAGGAGTTCTTCGACCTCATCGCCAGCTCCCAGAGCCGCCGCCTGGACGACCAGCGGGCCACCGTGGGCAGCCTGCCCGGGCTGCGCATCACCCACAACAATCTGGGCCACCTGCGTGGTGACGGGGACCCCCAGGACCCGGGGGACGAGTTCTTTAACATCCTCATCAAGTGCCAGGTGGGCCTGCAGCCCGGGGCGGCCTGGGGCTCTGCCTCCCTCCTCCCGCCTGCCTGCCAGGCCCCTCGGCCCCGGTTAGCTCAGGGCCCCACCCCGGGAGGCTCCACGCAGGGCCTGGGTCCTTCGTCTCAGGGTGCGTCATGTGGGACTGGACCCCAGGCTGGCTCAGCCAGTGTCTCTGAGCGCCCGTGGGTGCTCAGACCCATGGGCCTCCTCCTGGGCCCCCTGAGTAGGTCACCCCAGGACATCCTCAGGCTGGCCCCTCCCTACAGCGCAGGAGCCTGGAGCCGGGCGCGTCACCAGGTATCCCTCCAGCCTTCCACGTCCGGATGGAGAAAACTGAGAGCCAGGCGGCACCCCCAGAGCACAGAGTGCAGGAGGGGTCTGGCCAAGACCATGGGGTGCAGCCACCCACCAGTCTGGGCGGGGCAGAACTGCAGGTGGGGTTTCAGGGTCAGGAAACCCTCAGTGAAATGGCTGGGGAGGGGGCAGCCTCATAGCACCACCACACACACCCCCACCGGGAAGGAGGCTGGCAAGTTTCCAGATGTGACATTCCTTCCCACAGAGGAGAGGAAAGTGCAGCTCTGGGCGAGTCCAAGGAGCCTCAAAAGCAGCCCCTACCGAGAACCCCTGCCCACACGCACGCAGGCCCCACAGGCTACGCCGGCTCCCGGCCCCCTGACCCCCGACCCGAGGGGGCCCTGGGGGGCTCGGCACCACCAGCTCCGGGAGCTGCAGCCCCGCCCTGTCCCTGGGGCTCGTGAACACACCACGGTCTGGCGGCCTTAGGAGCAGGCCTGGGAGGCTACCACAGCAGCTCTCCCGCCGGGTAGGCCGTTCTTGGGGTCAGGGCTCCCAGCTGTGCCCTGGAGCTGATTCCCAGGGAGGCCCTCCTGAGTTGGCGCTGCTGCCGAGTTGTCCCTGGGGCCTCTGAGCGCCGGGCCCAGGCGCTGGGCTGCGGCCTCCGAGGCCTGGGGAAGCGAGGCCGCCGACCCGCGTGTCCACGTCTGCCCAGTCCTCCAGGATCGACGACCAGCGCTGCCCGCCACCGGACGCGCTGCCCCGCGGCCCCACCATGCCCGACGAGGACTTCCTCAGCCTCATCCAGAGGGTCCAGGCCAAGCGGATGGACGAGCAGCGGGTGGACCTCGCTGGGAGCCCGGAGCAGGAGGTGGGCGGACCCCCCGAGCCCCGGCAGCAGTGCCAGCCCGGCGCCAGCTAAGGCCTCGCACCCACAGCCGGGCCCGCCCCACCCCTGCTCCTGGACGGGGGCGGCGGCCGGGGGGAGCTCACAGATGTCCAGGATGCCCACAGCACCCCCTCCGAAGCCAAATCCTGCCGAGGCCACGGCTGAGGGCAGGCTCTGAGCCACCCAGCCCATCTCACTGAGCCGGACGCTGGGCATGCGGCCCCCGTGGCATCCCCTCCCCAGGGCAGCAGGCTCGGGCCAGGGCCCACTCCCGTCCTGCGCCAGCCCCTCGCGGTACGCAGCTTCCTGCAGGCCTGCCCCAGCCCTGCCCTCGCCCCGCCCCGCCCCTGCCCCAGGCCGGGCCCTCAGCATGTCGGCCCCAAAGCCCGGTGCTGTCCAGACCTCCACGCTCCCCCTCTGCCCCCCGCCCGGCCAAATGTGAAAACCCCGCTGACCCCCAACCCCCAAAGGTGTCTCTGAAGCCTCTTCTCTGGGGCCACCAGCGGCACGGGCGTTTCTGTCCTCCTCAAGCCGGCCCCAGGGGTGGTGAGCACAGCTGTGCTCCCCCCAGTCCGGCCTCACCCCTGGGGAGGGCCTCGTCCCAGCCCCTCTCCCCTCCCTCCTACCCGGCCTGGAGGAGGAGGCCAGTCCCAGGAAGCCTGGAGCCTGACCAGGCAGTGGAGGCAGTGGCTCCTACGTGGGGTCCCCAGCCCCACCAGGCACGTGCTCCTGAGCCGGCAGGGCGGGGAGGGAAGGGGGTGAGCTCCACGTTCCTCAACTCCAAGCCCAGGAGCCCAGGAACTGAGCCGGCCCGGTTCTGGGAATACCAGCTGGTGGGGGTCTGCACCCTGACCACGCCAGGGTGGGCGGCAGGTGCGAGGGCTCCAGCTCTGTGGCCGTGGTGAGCACCCAGCCCTCAACCCCACCGTGGGGCGAGACGACATCACGCCTTCTCCCGTGGGGTGAGTTGGCCCTCGGGACTGGGCAGGAGACAGGCCTCTGGGGAGACCATGGCCGGCGCCCTCACCCAGACTCCCCCGTCTCAGCCTGCCTCCTGCAGGGCCCACTTCCAGCTCTCCTGGAGCGTCCCTGGGTCGAGCCGCAGCCCCAAGGCCCCCAGGCAGCCCTCCTCTTGCGTGGCGCCTCACCCAGCCCCAGGTCCCGCCCGCTGAGCGTGGGGAGGCCCCCGGGCCCCCGCCCCTCGGTACAGTACGGCCCGGGGCGCTCTGGGCGCAGGGGCCCCCCGAGGGCGAGGGTAGGGCGGCAGTTGTGGGGTCAGAGGCCAGAGCACAGGCTCCTGCTGGGCCGCCCCACACACCCGAATGTTCGTGCGTATTTATTGCTCACACGTGTGTTTGCCGTGTTGTCAAGGGGTCCCTTCCAGCCCAAGAGGTACATCTGTTCTCCTGTTTTTCCCGAAAAAAATAAAGTCTGCCAAGCGAAAGCTGTCGTGTCAGGATGAGGGCTGGCACAGGTGCTGGTGCTTTCAGAGGCCCAGTGACTCTCTCACCTGGGTGAGCAAGCCTGCACCATGCCAAGGGCCTGGGGCCGGGGAGCAGCGCCCTCCTGCCCCCCAAGGCTGGCCCTGCTCCTGCCCACCCCCGCACACGGGCTCGGTCCCTGCTGCGTTCGTGGGGTGGGGTGGGGGGGCTAGGGCTCAGAGGGGTGTGGCAGTCCCAGGGACACACAGCCAGTGAGGGTGCTGGCCTAGGAGCCCAAGTGTCCTCCAAAGCCCACGCCTCAGCCCTGAGCCCCACGCTCCCCTCCCAGAGGAGCTCTGGTGCCGAGACGAGGCTGCTGGAAGGCGTGGAGTGCAGTGTGGGGCAGCCCCCCGAGCGGGGCACAGGGAACCCCAGGCCTCCCTACCGAGCCTGCCATCCTGCAGCCTCTCTTGGGTGGGGTGACGAAAAGGGAGGGTGGTTGAGAACAAGGCCCATACGGGGAAGGGTGGAGCCCCCCACCCCCCACCCCAGAGAGTTCTCAGTGCTCCAGGAAGCCTGGCGCTCTGCCAGCAAATATCGCGGGGGTGGGCACCGTGCCTCTCAGCGGCTCACAGCCAGGCCGGGACGCTAAAGGCTCTGAGAAGTCCTGCAGGAAGAGGTTGGTTTGATGTCCTCGAACCCAGCATTGCCTATCCAGCTGTCCGCAGAAGACTACACTTGGGGACGTGCTGTCACAGGATCCCAGGAGGTTGGCTCAGTGGCTCTGGGTGGAGGGGCTGCCCGAGCTGTCCGGAACCTGCCCTGGGTGCACTCGCCCTACCGTGTCCAGGAAGTGACCAGCTCTCCAGGGTCAGAGGGCCCAGACGTCAAAACGTCAGACAGCACACAATAAAAAGATGTGGCGAGCAGCCATGTCCTAACCGCCCACGGAAAGAGGGCTTGGCCTGCGTGGCCCTCCTGGGTCCGCTCTGCGTTCTCAGAGTCCGGCCAGCTCCCTGGGCCTCCCCACACCCCGTTCCAACCCTATGGTGGCAGTGAGGCCCCCGCTGCTCTGGCGTTTCAAGGCCAGCGGGTCCGCCCGGGGCTGGCTTGTCCTCCATGACTGACTCCGCAAATGTCACAGGAGGCTCTGGGCAGGATAATAGGGGGTCGTTCACCACGGGAAGAACGGGGGGTATTCGAGTCGGAGCACGAGCTGCCGGCGCCTGCAGAACAGTGCCGAGGCCCGTGCTGATGGGGGCGGCCGTCAGGAGCTCGGAGCCTGCGGGGGACCCTGCGAGACTGTGGCTGGTGATTAATGTTGAAGGTCACACAGCCCAGAACACTTCTGGAAATAAACACAGGAACATCCTGAGAAGGCGGTCAAACGAGGTTGGGAGACAAACTGCACAGCCCTGGGGAGGGGGACACTCCGTGGGGCAGGCGGCCCACCACCAGGCCCACAGTAGCCCAGCCCCCACTCCGCTGGCCACCACGGCCGCCCGGCCCGCCTGAAGCCACCCTGAGCAGCCCAGCCCCCACTCCGACTTGGCCTGGCCAGTGGCCAAGGGTCAGGGCTGAGGTTGGCACCGGCTCACCAGTGCCACCCAGGGGGCATCGAGGGGACGGCAGACGGCACAGAAGGATCTGTGGGGCCTCCTTGTGTCTGGCCAGAGGGACAGGACCCCCGGTGGGGCTTGGTGGTGCTGACCCCACCCCCAGGAAGAACAGTGGCTAATGGGCCATCAGGATCGGGGCCCTGGGACTTCCCTGACCGTCAGTGGTCAAGACTCCCCGCTTCCAGTGCAGGGGTCACGGGTTTGATCCCTGGTTGGGAAACTAAGATCCCACATGCCATGTGGCGTGGCAAGAAAAAAAAAAACAAACATCGGGGCCCTGACACTTGGGGTCAGGGCGGGGCTGAGCCACCCCGTGCCTGTCCTGAGTCCCATCTTTCCACCTATACTCCTGATGAGGGGGCACCATGAGCATCTTCATCTGCAGACAGGGAGATGAAGGCTCAGAGGGGCAAAGTGACCTGCCTAAGGCCACACAGCCACAGCCGGGAGGGGCTCAGACTCCACATCCAGCCCCTTCCCACTCAGACATGGCCAGCAGCCACAGGAGGCCCTGGCCTGCAGCCTGGAAGGGGTTCTTGTGAGTCATTCTGACTCCACAACCAGGGGTGACAGGAGAGCCCCAGGTCCCAGCATCTGCAAGTGATGTTTGTTTATTGATAGAAACAGGCAAGTCCAGAGTGGCTCAGGGCCGGAGCATCCCTCTTGGAGGCACAAGGCGGGTCAGCTGGCCTCTGTGTTGCCAGGGTGGGTGGGATCCTGGTCCTCAGCCCCTTCCATAACAGTGGTGGATTTGGGGGGCCCCGAAGCCTCTAAAACGAGCTCCAGGGCGCCCTCGCCAGCCACTCGGCGTACCTTCTCCCCTCTGGCCGCCAGGATTTCTTCAATATTCCTGAGAAAGACGGAAGTGCCGTGTGACACTCCAGGCCCCGAAGCTGTCCTGCATCTTGGTCCCTCGAGGGCACCCCAGGCCAGGCTCGAGCACACGAGTCCGTGTGCTGGTGTGGCATCAGGGCCATACAGCCAGGAGGCTCCTGACCACTGCCCCCTCACTGCTCTCCACAAGGTGGTGAGGCTGACCCTGCAGCCCCAGGGCCCTGACCACTACACCTCACACACCCCCCTAAGTCTGGTGCAGTCAACCAACCAGTGTCAGCAGAGGACAAGACAGCTGCATGCTAGGATCCCTGCCCCATAGCAGACACTCAGGAAGGAGTGCCTAGTAGGGTGAAGGAACCACAGAGTGAACGGCAAGCTGTTGCCTTTAAGAGTCAACCTAGTCTGCCACCCTCATTTTAGGGTAGGCCCGTGGCCCTGACATGTAACCAGGTCCTACCTGCCCCCAGAGGCTGTCAGTGAGGACAGAAGCCAGGCAGTGAAGCAGGCTGAAGGAGCTGATCTAGGGTGGAAGATTTAGCAAGTCGAAACATGTTCCAATCTCGTGCATGCTTTTACCAAAAAGTTACTTGTGTTTTATCTGAATTTCAAATTTCACTACATCTCTTGTATTGAGAAGGAAGCTGGGCTGGAGATGGGGGCTCTGTAATCCTCATTAGAAGGACGGTGCCCCAGGGAGGTTGGGTGGGGCTCCCGACTCAGGATGGACCAGGCTAGCACTCTGTCCCCAACGCTTCCCAGGTAGCCTCACCTCTTCCCATACAGGTCCGAGAACCAGCCCAGGTTGTCGGCGATGATGTGGTGGTTCTGGCAGCCGGGGCAGGTCACAATGACCACACCCTGGTGATAGGCGAGCTTAGAGATGTGCTTGGAGGCTGGTCCCACACAGACCTGGTGGAGACTAGGAGGTGAAGCCCTGCTCCCGCCCCCGCCCTTCCC